TTCTGCATTCTGCAGTGGCGCAGAATTCTACCAGGAGTAAAAATTTGTGTAGAAGAGCTGCAAGAAAGTATGGAGACAGCTGTGTGAGAGAAGTGGGCAAAATGAGCCCCAAAGCTGACAACACTGGCAGAAAGAGTGACAGCAGTATGTGAAGGCTGCAGTAGCTGAATCTAGTGCCTATCTAGACAAAGGCAGAGTAATATCATAGAATCATAGACTTTAAGACCAGAAGTGGGGAAACATTCAGAAAAAAAGGGATAAACCAAAGAATCTGTGAAAGAAAGAAAGCCATCTCAGCAAAAAAATATTATTTTAATGGGAAAAATAAATAAAGCCAAAAAAAGATTAGAGGATGACTATTGTCAGTCGTCTATGGGGAGCACAATGAAAAAGTGACCAGAAAAAGTGAAACCAGTGAAGAAGAAACTGCATGCCACAAGATGTCTGGACATGTTCTCTCCTTAACAAACTTCATGCTCTTTCAGATTCATCTCCCCTAGTACATGTTTCCATAGATCTAGTATGAAATATTAATGGGGAGCAAGACATTGATAGGAAATTATACTCTGTCTGCTTCTGGATATTGCAAATAAAGAGGGGGGGAAATGAGTAACATGAAGCTAGGATAAGAAAAATGTTTCATATGAAACTTCAAAGTTTCTCTTTAAGACTGCTTGCCTAAATTATTCTTGTTTCACAAGTGAACCTTTTCAGGTAATGTGCACCTCACTTCAGTTTGAAAGATGTTATTGTACACCCACAGTATTATTTTATAATATATGTACGCTATATGCTCTGGAAACTTAGGAGTGAGAGCAAGCTAAAAAAAGCAGAATTGTCCTTTCCCCTCTCTTCCACAAGCAATCAAATTTACTTGTCAAATAAGACTGATCATAGAACATATTTTGTTAACTTCTAAATGTGTAACATTTCAGCTTCACTGTAATATGAACAGGCTGTAGTCATAAATGACTAACCGTTAATTCAAAGAAAAGGAAGGGTTCCATTACAGCTGCAAGAAAGAGCTGGATGTAAGTGTGTATGTATTCTACCAAATTAAAGCCAAGTTTGTTATCCATCTGCAGCATAATCAGAAGGAAGTGTCATGCTTCTCGCTGCAAAGGCAAAAAGAGATCAAACACTTGCACAAAGGGTGCGAGAGAGGCAACACCTCAACTCTCAGAAGTGAGACTATGCCTGCTGTATATGTGCACTTGAGATATTTCTTTTCTGGTGCAGCATCCTGCCAGGGACTTCATTTGGACAAACAGTAATGAATCCTACTCTTAGGACTTATAAGTATACCATCTGCAAGCCCAGCTGAGACACAGAACAGCAAAGGAAAGCTACAAAAATAGCAAGAGTGATAGGATGACAGACCTGAAGATAATGTAAAGAAACTCCCCTGAAAGTATATTATTTCACTTGGAGCCAACCCTTTATGGAAAGTTAGAGGAAAATTTAGAATGTCTCAGACTGGACATGAAATTGATGAGAACAGATGAAGTAACTAGGAAGACATCAGATTTAGTCAGCAAGTATAAAGATTTTGAAATCAACTTATTTTTATAGATTCAGAGAATGATTGAGGTAAATCTGAAATCCTGGCTTCATATTATGGAGTTAAACAGCTTATTGGACCAAGCATGTATCACCAAATTAATGGATATTGCTGAGGAAGACGTGCAATAGAAAAGTAGGGTATATTCTTTAGTCATAGCTTGGCATGGAATTTGACTTACACCTGTTTGAGACTTTCGTCTTGGTCTCTCTCATAATTATTTATCGAATTTCAAGAAACATTCAAAAGAAATGCATTGTCATGATAAGCTGAGATGGCTCTCAACCAGACCTTTACATGATCTTCTTTCATATCCCACGGAGTCTTGTATTCGCGCTAGAGACTGATCACATTCATGACAACTTCTTGAATTCTGAGATTTTCCTTACATTTTAAAGTATACTTTGTTGAGATGTTTTGGGATCCACTATCTATATAAAATCAGTGGATTTCAAGTTTAGTGAGAGCTATTATATTTAAACTCCTTGAAGCTAAAGCACAGCAATGGACATTGTGTCGGTGAAATTAAATTCCAGCTTGAAAAGAAATTTTACTGCTTTAAATCTAGTTAACATGGAGTCTGCAATGAGAGTAAAATGCCAGCTTTTTTATGGGTCAACTTATAGAAATTCAGTTTTTCCAGGATAGGCGTCACTCTCATAATAGTGAAGTGCTTGTAAAACCATATGTTCTATAGCTGACAGCTGCAAGAAATACAGGCCTTTTTAAAGCAACAGAGAGTCCTGTGGCACCTTTAAGACTAACAGATGTATTGGAGCATAAGCTTTCGTGGGTGAATGCCCACTTCGTCGGATGCCTTTTTAAAGCTCTCACTTGGCACAACAATAGTTCACCTTTCAAAAGTGTCTAAGGTAACACTGCACAAATAGCATGCTTGACAGCTTCTATTCAACAAACATGAACTTAGTACAGTAGACATGTTTCAGGTCAGCAATGAAATGCATTAAACGGAGTTCTGTGGAGATGTTTTCCCACACTGCCCAATTCAAGTTATCACTTTTAAGAGTATTGAATTCAGCTACATAGAAGCTTACACTCATGGCAATTTAGTTAAGTATTGGCCAGAGTTTTCAGTGACTCAGTCACTGAGGGTGAAGTCAGTGAAATCTGAAATTCCAAAGTAAGATATTTCAATACATTATTTTAAAGTTTAGATAAAAAACATCATTTCCTTATGACTGAACTGTCTGTGATAGACATTTTCTCTTCATAGCGGAAATACTAGAGTGTGCAAACACCTCTCTTTTCATAATTATGCACAAAGCTGAAAGAACCAATTAAGTCCTTCTTCACCCAAGGAGAAATTGTCTTTCAATCAAACCGAGAACACATTCTGAAAAAAATATAATCCTTTGCATCAATTTATTACCACTACTCTTAGTCCTTTAGTAGCTTAAATAGGCAATGAACCCGTTCAAATCACTGTTGCCAAGGAGTTCAAGTAGAAGAGCATATTCAAATCAAGTCCTTTCTAAAGCTCATGGACAGTTTTATTAGACATATTGTGCCAACCTATACACAACATAAAATTATAAGAGGAAAGCAGATTAACAATAATTCCAACAATGAAAGGAATACAACAGGATTCTCTGGTCAAAGCTTATTAGCCAAATCAGTTTACACACCACTAGGCAGAACAAACCGAACTCATTTTCTTCTCTCTCACCCCTTTCACCTGCATGCTATTTACAGTATTTTCTTAGGTGATTACAAAATCCAGACATTAGGATTCTGCAGTGTCTAAATAAAAATGTGCTTTGGTTTTACTTCTACTTTCCCATTAAATGTGAGCAGCTATCATTTTATTGGCAACTTCCTTTGATATTGCTGCAGTTGATATGGAGAGGAACTCCCTAACCTGGTTTTAGTTATTAGGAACCTGGTTAGAATCCTGCTTGCTTTTAATTAACTTGGCTGAGGAAAACTGTATGCCCATGCAATACCTCAGACTACCCCAAGATCATTTAAACTGCACAGACAAATGAGGCTGCAGAATTTGGAGGCAATGCAGAGAAGATACCCTGGACACTCCATTCCAATTTAAGAACTTGCAGCTATTCTAGGCAAGGCTCCCTCATGATAATTCAAGAGTTTAGAGAGAGCACAGGAGCCGAAGATTTAAAGAGAGCATACTGTGGTCAAGTAGTACTAAGTGACAACTTGAGTAACAGATTCCAGTGGACTAGGACTTTAAACTGATGAGCAGTGACACAAATGAAATGAAGTTGGGGCAAATGGCTGTCTTTAATAGCAATTATCTGTTCCTACATACAATATAAAGGCAAAACTTGTATGGAAATTAATGAAGTGTGTCCTTTAGTACTGGAAGTTATCCTCTAAAGGGCTGCTAGAGAAATTGGGCTATCTAGATTGTGAATGAAAACTAATCTCTTGTGTTTAATGAGCTAAATTATGGAGGACATGGGTCACATTACTTAATAAGTAGTTTGGGATGATATTGCCCACAGAATTTTTCAAGTTCCCATGAGGGCAGAGTTAGAGCTATGATAGTGTCAAAG